GTACTTTCGACGCAGCAGAAGTAGAGTACCTTGGGATGGTTATTCGCCCTGGAGAAGTAGCAATGGAACACGCTAAAGTCGACGGGATAAAGGACTGGCCTACCCCTGCTTCCGTAAAAGATGTGCGCTCCTTTCTCGGATTTTGCAACTTTTACAGAGCATTTGTATCACATTACTCCGATATCGCCCGACCACTCATCAATCTCACTCGAAAGGATCAAGCCTTCGCTTGGACACCTGATGCTCAGACCTCGTTCGACGAACTCAAACAATGTTTCACGACGAAACCGGTACTACGAAACCCCGATCCTTCACGCCAATTTGCCCTCGCTACTGATGCTTCTCTAGTAGCAACAGGGGCCGTACTCCTCCAAACGGACGAAAATGGCGTCTACCACCCCTGTGAATACATTTCCCAGTCTTTCAACCCCGCCGAACGCAATTACGAGATCTTCGATCGAGAATTGCTTGCTATAATTCGTGCGCTAAACGAATGGCGTCATTATCTAGAAGGAAACCCTCACCCCGTCATTGTTTTCACCGACCACCTGAATCTCCTTTACTTCTCGAAAGCACAGAAACTTTCTCGGAGACAAGCACGTTGGCAGCTTGTTCTCTCCAATTACGACCTTGAACTGCACCACGTCCCCGGGACAAAGCTCGCCGCACCTGATGCGCTCTCTCGACGCCCGGATCATGGTCTTGGTGAACACGACAATGAGGATCGTGTACTCCTTCCTGACTCCATGTTTATCCGGTTACTCGACAACGAATTCTCCGCCGCCCTCGCCAAGAACTCCTTGAATGACCCTATTTTCTCCACTGCCAGTGATGCTTTGGACGGACTTTGTCTGCCCCCTATGAAGTCGGCACTCACTGACTGGAAAATATTGGATGGAGTTCTTTATTACAAATCTCGCGCCTATGTCCCGCCTTCGCAGCGACTGGACATTCTGCTCCGTCACCATGACCACCCCACCGCCGGCCACCCCGGAAGGTTTAAAACCGAAGAACTCGTCAAACGCGATTACTGGTGGCCGGCCATGGGCACCTTTATTCGCTCCTATGTCGCTGGATGCGCCCTATGTCAGCAGATGAAAGCCGACACTCACCCTGTGTCGCCACCCCTCGTCCCCATCCCATCCTCCGCTACTCGTCCGTTTTCCCAGGTCTCCGTTGACCTTGTCACCGACCTCCCCGTTTCCAACGGTTTTGACTCTCTCATGGTCGTGGTAGACCATGGCCTTACGAAGGGGGTGATTATTTCTCCCTGTAACAAGAACATCTCTTCTGAAGGAGTAGCTAAACTATTCTTCAAGAATGTATTCAAAAGATTCGGACTCCACGAAAAAGTGATCTCTGACCGTGGCCCTCAGTTCGTTTCAAAGTTCTCTAGAGAATTGGCACGCCTCCTAGGATACCAGATCGCCGCCTCTACAGCATATCACCCTCAGACCGACGGTCAGACCGAACGGCTCAATCAAGAAATAGAAACGTACCTCCGAATATACTGCAGAAGTAACCCCTACGAATGGTCAGACCATTTACCCCTCGCCGAATTTGTACACAATCACCGAAGACACGAAGCAAGGAACGCATCGCCATTCTTCATCATGATGGGATACGAACCTCGCGGCATTCCCCACGTATTATCGTCATCAGACACCCCTGCCGTGGAAGAGAGAGTTCGCACTCTGCAGAAGATAAGGGAAGAAGCCATCTCCTGCCACAACATCGCTATGCAACGAATGGCGGAAAGAACGCACAAGAAGAAGTACCTACCATGGAAGATAGGAGATAAGGTCTGGCTTTCCGCAGCTAATCTCATGACCACCCTCCCATCCAAGAAGCTTGCACCCAAGCGGCACGGACCGTTTCCCATATCCGCAGTCCTATCACCAATCACATTCACTCTAAAACTTCCCGAACAATGGAAGGTTCACCCCACGTTCCATGCTTCGGAACTATCTTCCTATCAGGAGACAGAAGTTCACGGACCGAACTACGAAGAACCACCTCCAGATATAGTCAACCAATCAGAAGAATACGAAGTAGAAGCAATCCTAAGTCACAAGGGAGCGGGTAAACGAAGACGCTATCTCGTATCCTGGAAAGGGTACTCTTCTGGAAGTAACGAATGGATTCCAGCGGAGAACATGGAAAACGCCGAAGACCTACTTTCTGCCTATAAGAAGAGGCACAAGTTGACCTAGGACCGACCAGCCTCCCCACTATCATAAAGCATGTCTTCTCAAGCAACGTCCCCCACTGAATCCAATGCCTCCTCCATCAGCCTTTGCGAATCCCCCTTCGCTGACAACGTCGTTAGCATCGAAGACGACGTCATCGTCGAAACCACTATCCTCTCCGTTGCCCATGCCCTCGAAATTGAAACCTATCTCAACAACCAACCAGCTGTGCCAGCTGGAGTCGCTGCCACATATATCCATATCATTAGAGCCACCCAACGCCTTGAAGAAGAATTTGCCCAGATTGAAAACGACGCCCTCCGACTCTCCTGCAACCACGTTCAGCGGCGCATACGCTCGCTTACGCTTCAGTTATTCCCTCTTGGTTTTAGCACTATCTGCAGGGAAATTATACAGACTGTTGCTGATCGAAACTCCTTCCAAGTCGGTCGCCCGCTGCCTCCTATTACTCACAATCCCCCCGCTGTTCTACCTGATCCAACTTCAGTTGGAGGGAACTTTGCGCCGATACCTGTACCCGTCCCAACACCCAGCGAGGTCCAAAGAAGAAACCTCCGCGGCGGAGCCGCCATTCACGGCGTAACCAAGAAAAAATCATCCAAAGGAAAGAAACGCGAGGTCATCGACCTCACCAAAGAAACCTCCCCTACCCCATCCTCTAGCATCGTTATCAGAACCCCCTCATTGAAACAAGTAGTCGGCACTATCGCCGACGCCAACTTTATCTGCCGAATCTGCAAGAAGCTTGGTCACAAGCACAAGAACTGCCCCCTGTACTATTGCCGCGTTTGCGGCGACACAAGACCCGGGCATTTCTCCATCTATTGCCCCTTCACCACCACCAAGATACTATTCCCGTTGGTTTATACCGACGAAGGCTTCTACGACGCGTTAGCCGCGTGGGAAGCGGAGAAAGATAAGAAAGACGAAGAGGACATCGCACATGCCGATAGAGAGTACTTGGCACAGCCGGAAGAATTAGAATTCCACAATGCCGACGCCGACCCCATCTACTACGCCAACCAGGACAACTAGTGATGTCGATGCCGGTGACATCGACCATAACACGGGGGTAATGTTACGGTACATTCATTCTCTTCGTTTCTCCTTCATTACCGGACAATGGTACATGGACACGGCTCTTAACGAGCGACCAATTACCTTTCAAACTCTTACTCACATCGTTGCTAAGCTAGCTTTCCGTGCTAGCAACCATCACTATGTCTAGATCATCCCTTATCAAAGCGGGCTGTCCGCACCATGGTTACTATCTCTTATCTCATATCTCTTATCATTTACCAAGTGGGCTGTCCACCTTCTATCTTGATACGCATTTACAAGCTCCGCTTGAACTCTCGCTATATAGACACATAGCGTACCACATGTAGCTCCTCACTTTAATCTACTGGGTTTTACCTGGAACCAAGTCCTTTAGCAAGGTCTCCAACCTTGCTATCTAAGAACCACTATTCTAAGGAAGTCGCCGATACTTGCCTTAGCCAGAAACCTTTGACCTCTCACTCGAGAGAAGAACCACGTCTGTCTCGCCGAATCTCAGTCCACTCGGACTTAGACAGCTCGACATACCCCAGTCGTAACAGTAGTGGTATGTCTGATCTATTGGAAGTTGTTAACAATTTCAATGCTATGGTGAGTCAGTCTTCTTTCAATGTTTTTGTAAAGTCTCAAAAGGAAACAGTCCATCAAAGATTCATCTGACGGTGAAGCAAACTTAATGATGGACCTCCTAAGAGCAAAGCACAATGTTTTTCAGGCCCAGAAGGCCCTCGCAGATTCGATACTATGAGAAAATGAGGTTTTGTCAAGCTTGTTAAAATTCCAAGCTGAAACTGCAGGGAAGAGGTTGGATGATGTGGACCTTGGACTTGGATATATGCGAGTTGTCTTCAAGAAGCATGGTTGGACTCATCAACCTCTATCCAGACAAGGATGTCTGCATACTGGTAAGCTTGCTATACTGGTATCTTGGGATGAACCAGTGTCTGAACACATCACAGACAACTTAGAAAATGGACAGCACGTCACCATCTGGCTTGATTAATTTTGTTTATTGGCATGTTCCTTTGAGTCATTTTGCTTATGTTTGACATATGTACTATGTGAATTCTTGTTTATATGCTCAAATTATACTATGTTGTCGCATTAGTTCATAATTTTCAGTGCACTATGAGTGATGTAAATAATTACAGTGAGCCGCTGATCAAGAGTTTGTTTTGAACTTTAAATATATACTACTAGTAGTAGCAGTCAAAATCCATAAGAAACTGTGACTCTGTGAGTGACTGGAGATAAGTAGTACTGTAGCTACTGTAGCTACTGTATGCTGTGAACTTTGTGTGAACTGTGGAGTTCTGTGGTTGGCTGTAGCTAGAATGGAAATTTAAGACTTCTGTAGACAAAGTTGGTAGTTTGCTGATGAGGGCCATACCTGACTTCATTGGCATGTTCCACATACAACTATTGAGCATGGAACAAAGTCCAAACATTGGCTATTTAAATGTCAATACTGTGATGCACAAGCTGTGACAAAATTCAAATGCAAAGACTTACACAATGTGTAGGACATGCTTTGTTTCACAGACTGCTGGGTGCACAGATTTCAAGAATGAGAAACCTCAGCTATGTCTTGGAAATTTGTCAACACATACTCACCAGGCACATGCCGATAAGTGGAAAACATTCACTTTGATTCCTGTGAAAGATTCAGCAGCCATCAGTGTGAAAATTATGGATGGCTATTTTGCACAAGGTACAAAACCAATCTTCGCAATGAAAGATGGTTTCTTGCGCCACTTTGTTGCCTGGATTATTGATGATGACCTGCCTTGGACTACTGGTGAAACCCCTGGCATTGTACAGCTCTTTTGATTTTTGGAAGTCAGATGGCCACTCCCTAGTGATACCACTGTCTGAAATATGGTAGCAAAAATCTTCACCAAGCTTTGTGAAGGAACTAACAGTAAGTAATGTACATTGATCCAAGCTCAGATACCAGTGCTAACACAATACATAGGTTGTCAAATCCAAGATATCATACTCGACTGACAACTGGAAAACCAAACAGATGGTGTTTACCTTTGCTGGTACAATAGCTTCCTTCATCAACGATGACTGGGAGTTATGCGAGCATCTCATTGACTTCCATCATATCAAAGACAAGGAGCACAAGGGTATTCATGCTGCAAAGGCATTCATCCAGACTGCTGTGATCCATGGGGGCTTGAAGAAGATAAGTCCAGGACTTTGTCTTGCATTTGCATGTTCTGACTGTATGTCATCAATACTTTCTTGCAGTCTGCCTCAATAATGCATCATCATGTGATACATTTACCCATGCAACTGGCAAATTGCTTCAAGATCATTACAGTATTCAATTTCATGAAGGCAATGCACAAATCCAGTGCATAGCATATGTTGTCAACCTTATCATCCAAGCCATGCTGGCAAGTCTGGATAAAGCAAAGAACCATGAAGAGGACTACTTTGTCCTGAATAAGCATCTTCCTTTTCATTATGATCCAAACAATGACAGTGGCTTACAAGAGTTCAAGCAGGAGACAAACAGGGATGGTGGTGATAAAGACTCAGATGCAAATGGCATCCTTGAGCTTGAGGATCCCGAACTTGATGATGAGGCTAAGAAACTTTTGAACGTGTTTGCTGGATTGAGTCCTGTAAAGAAGATGAGTACTGACCAGTCCAACTAATTGTTTGACAATATCTAACTTATTGTCCTACCAGCTTCATGAAATCATGAAGAAAATTGTGTCATCTCCTCAGCGACGCAAGAGGTTCTGTGATCTTACAAGTGAGGCCTTTGGAAGCACAAAAGCACCATCAGGGAATATGCTGTGCACTCTAATGGTCATTTGTGATGTTGCAACTTGATGGAACTATACCCATGCTATGATCTGAAGAGCTATCATGCTTCATGAGGTGTGTTAAACAGATTTACAGACTTTACATATATTGACTTCAGCTGGTTGAAGGCAGTTGAGAAATGGGTCTTCAAAAAGAAAGAACTTCACAATGAACTATACTTAACTAACCAAGAGTGGATGTTTCTCAAGCAACTCACAAACATTCTTAAAGTGAGTGCATGTCATATTCCAGGCTTTTAGAAACTGAAAGATGATATCTCATAGGTATTTACAAAGGTGACATTGTACATGTCTCACTCAAACACTGGTCCATTCTGATGTATCACTGGATAGAGTCAGCCCTGATATCAGCTATGTCAAACACTGCTATCAGCCAGAAACTGTGACTGGCTTGCACAGTTGGCTTACACAAACTTCATCATTACTTTTGCATATCTCAGAACAATTATTTTAACGTACTTGCAACAAGTTAAGTGGTGTTCCCTTGACACTAACACATTACTGAGCGTGTGCCCTGTGTACTTTAGTTTGTCATCCAGCACTCCATCTCGAGTGGTTTCATAACCTCAGCAATGATGCATACAATCAAGCAAGAATCATTTTTGAATGTTTCATTAATGAATATAAACTTGCCACAGCAGCAGCAGCTCCCATAAAATTTAATTTGCCACTACCATCAGTGTCTCTTGATGATGATGATTGTTTTCTCTTGTCAATCATCAATTTGCGTCCTGATGGCCAACATCCCACAACTTTGATGGTACCTATCTAGTTCAAATTTGAGCGCTATGTGATGCTTGCCCAGGGTGCCAAGGACATGAATGCCATGAATGCACCTCTTACATGGTGGAAGATACATTTTCATTGTTTTCTAGTAGACTTATTAACTTACTGTCTGTGAAGGATCATTCTCATAAATTTCCAATAATTTCACACATCACATGTGACATTCTTGCCATTCCAGGTGCTATCTTTCCTGTCGAATGACTCTTTTCAAAGTCGCAGCACCTGTGTACTGACCAGCAGTCTTCCCTTGCAGCGGCCACTGTGACACAATCAATGTGCACAAAACTACGGATCTGACAAGGCCTCTTTGATTTCAACAAGTAGACACTCAAATTTTTGTTGTCTATAAACTGTTTACAGCAGTTTGCATAAGTAATGGTACAGCCCTGTGTGAGAATGTACTTATCGAGATACTGGACTTAGAAAATTCAGCTTGATTTTGGCTTGATTTGACTTGTTGTGTGATCCATTGTATGTTGTTCCATTGCTCAGTACTCAGTGTTCCATGTCATGCATCATGGGCACACACAAAATTCAGTACAAGAGTGCTGAGTTCATTGACAGCTCCGATGACGATGATACCATTGAACTCATGTCCTTGAGCTCAGGTCTATCAGAGTCTGGAGATACTAGCTCAAACTCAGGGTCATTCATGGCAGCAGACAGAACACTAGTTACACTTCTTCCAGCAAGAGATAGCATCAACAAAGAACTTGATGCAATGGAGTATATCCCAGTCCCCTCTCAGCCTCAACGCAAAGAACTGAAACCTCATAAACAAGCAAAAAAGGTGCATATATCCAAGTTTACATGTACTGACAATACAGATGACATACTATTCACATGGCAGACAAGGCCCTAGACACAGTGCAAGAACTGGTCCAAAAACCCAAGACTCTGGTCCCAACGATCACATACAACATATCCTTATTCCCTGCAGCCGAAATGAGAAAAGACTTGAAGAGACAACGAGGCCAGGGCACCTACCTGAAACTCACCGCTGATGAGCCTTTTGTTACAACTGGGATAAGTTGAGCTGTCTATGTCTGAGTGGACGATCTGCTATAAGCAAGACAGATGTGGATCTTCTCTCTAATGAGAGGTTGAAGGTATCTGGCTAAGGCGAATGTAGACAACTCCCTTAGAATAGTGGTTCTTAGATAGCAAGGTTGGAGACCTTGCTAAAGGACAAGTTCCAGGTAAAACCCAGTAGATTAAAGTGCAGAATACAATCGGTACGCTATGTGTCTATATAGCGAATGTTCAAGTGGAGCTTGTAAATGGTGTATCAAGATAGAAGGCGGACAGCCCGCTTGGTAAGAGATAGAGGAGATAAGAGATAGCAAACATAGTGCAGACAGCCTGCTTGATAAGAGATAAGGGCTATGCATGGTGATGGTTACAAGAAAATGTAGGGGTGTGAGTATACCGTAACATTACCCCTGTATTATGGTCGATGTCACCGACTTTGACATCTTCAGTTGTCCTGGTTTGCATAGTAGATGGTGTCGGCGTTGGCATTATGGAAGTCTAGGTCTTCCGGCTGTACCAAGTACTCCCTATTGGCATGCTCAAGCTCTTCTTCCTGTTCCTTATCCTTCTGAGCCTCCCACTTGGCTAATGCTTCATAGAAGCCTTCGTCGGTGTAGACCAACGGAAAATCTGGTTTGACTGTGGTGAAGGGACAGTAAATGGAAAAGTATCCGGGTTTCGTGTCACCGCAGAAGTGGCAGAAGTACAACGGACAGTTCTTGTGCTTGTGACCAAGCTTCTTGCAGATTCAGCAGATGAAATTGGTGTCAGTGATGGTACTGATGATGTGCTTCAGCGAGGGGGATCTGATGGTGGAGGTGGATGGGTCTTTAGTGAGGTCAATGACCTCATGCTTCTTTCCTTTAGATGATTTGGCTTTAGTTATGCTGTGAACGACGGCTCCATTGCGGAGCTTTTGCTTGTAGACTTCATTGGGTGCTGGGACAGGTATCGGTTGAGCGTTCCCTCCAATTGAAGTTGGATCAGGTAGAACAGCGGGGGGAGTGTGAGTAAGAGGAGACAGTGGGCGGCTGACTTGGAAGGTGTTTAAATCAGCAACAGTCTGTATACTTTCCCTGCAGATAGTGCTAAAACCAAGAGGGAAGAGCTGAAGCATAAGCGAGCATATGCACCGTTGGATGTGATTACAGGATAGCCTGAGGGCATCATTTTCTATGTGGGCGAGATCTTCTTCTAAGCATTGGGTGGCTCTGATGATGTGAATATAGGTGGCAGCGAGGCTGGCTGGGACTGCTGGTTGAGAGTTGAGATATGTTTCGATTTCTAGGGCGTGGGCGATGGAAAGGATAGTGGTTTCAACAATGACGTCATCCTCAATACTGATGACATTATCGTTAAAGGGGGATTCACTGAGAGAGAGAGAGGAGACGTTGGATTCAGTGGGAGAAGGAATCTGTTGGGAGGACATGTTCATTTGTTGATTGTGGAAGTGGGAGCTGGTTGTTTCAATTCAACTTGTGCCTCTTCTTATAGGCAGCTAGAAGGGCTTTGGAACTCCGCAGATTTCCTTCAGGGATCCATTCATTATCTCCGGAGGAATATCCGACCCATGATACGAGATAGTGTCTTCGTTTATCCATACCCTTGTGACTGAGGATGGCTTCTACTTCGTATTCTTCTTCTCCTTTGACTATATTGGGTGGTGGTTCGTCGTAGTTCGGACCGTGTATCTCTGTTTCATGATAGGATGATAGCTCCGAAGCATGGAATGTGGGGTGAACCTTCCACTGTTTCAGGAGTTTCAATGAGAAGGTGATGGGAGATAAGACAGCTGTGATGGGAAACGGCCCGTATCATTTGGGTGCAAGTTTCCTAGACAGGAGTGTTGTCAGGAGATTGGCGGCGGAAAGCCATACCTTATCTCCTATCTTCCATGGGGTGTATTTCTTCTTTTGCGATCTTTCCGCCATTTGTTGCATGGCGATGTTGTGGCACGAGATGGCTTCCTCTCTTAACTTCTGTAGGGTTCTGAGCCGTTCTTCAGCAGCTGGTGTGTCGGAGGAAGGAAGAATGTGAGGGATTCCTCTTGGTTCGTAACCCATCATTAGAAAGAATGGGGTCGCATTTCTGGCCTCATGTCTACGATGGTTGTGAGTGAATTCGGCGATGGGAAGGTGGTTGGACCATTCCAAGGGGTTGGTTCTGCAATAGATCCGTAGGTAGGTTTCTAGTTCTTGGTTGAGCCGCTCGGTCTGTCCATCAGTCTGTGGGTGGTACACAGTGGAAGCGGCGATCTGGTATCCAAGAAGGCAAGCTAATTCTCTAGAGAATTTGGAGATAAACTGTGGTCCACGATCGGAGATTACTTTCTCATGAAGTCCAAAGTGTTTGAAAACATTTTTAAGGAAGAGTTTGGCAACTCCTTTGGAGGTAATAGTTTTGCTGCAAGGAGTAATAATTACCCCCTTCGTAAGGCCATGGTCTACCACAACCATGACAGAATCAAAACCATGGGAAAGGGGAAGATCCGTGATAAGGTCAACAGAGACCTGAGAGAAGGGCCAGGTGGCTGTCGAAGGAATGGGAACAAGGGGTGGCGTGGTGGGGTGAGTATCGCTCTTCATTTGCTGGCAAATAGCACAGCCATTGACGTATTTACGGATAAAGGTACCCATTGCTGGCCACCAGTAGTCACGCTTAACGAGTTCTTCGGTTTTGTACCGGCCGGGATGACCTGCAGTGGGGTGGTCGTAGTGATTGAGGAGGATATCATGACATTGAGCAGGGGGTACATACGCTCGATTCTTAAAGAAGAGCACTCCGTTAGTAAGTTTCCAATCCAACAAGGCGGATTTCATTGGGGGGAGACAGACCCCACTAAGAGTGTCGGATGCTGTCGAAAAGATGAGGTCTTGGAGGGAGTCAGCAGTGATGGCGGTGCTTAACTCATCGTTGAGCAACCGAACGAACATAGAATCTGGCAAAAGAATACAATTGTCGTTGTCATCCTTTCCGAGGTCATGATCAGGCCGACAGGAAAGGGCATC